TCGCAATCAATAGATAGGATGGTAGCTTGATTTAAAGGAATGTGGTATGAAGTTAAAGTTGATTCTAACTAATTTAGAGTAATATTTTTTATTTATAATGTACCTGGCATGGATAAGTTGGTTGAGCTTTAGTGACTGTATTCATGAAGTATGATGAAAATGCTTACCAAATCAGTTGACTGCTTTTAAGTGAAAAGCCAAATCTAAGCATATACTTGACTAAAGCGAAGAGAAGTACTGTAATTGTAAAGTATTAATGCATTCCCTTCTGAGAAACAATAGAACTTTGCTTCAGATTGATTTTAATGTTATTAGCATATTAATCCAGAGGAACATTTCTAAAATAAATAGGTTAAAGTGAAACTAAGAGTACTCGGTTAATCACAAAATCCTATAGTATCAGATCCTAATGCAACAGTGAAACTTGTGATTTTTCATGCATATCGGAGCCTACTAAATGATCAAGTAACGTGCTTGTATTGATGAGTATACTATCTTCAATAATCTATCACATTTTTATGTCTATATTTATACGTGCCAGTTAGCTTTACTCATGAAAGAAAAAGTGAAAGTAATTAACTCTCTCAAATAAATAAATAATATATTTTTTTATTTGCATGGTAAACTGCAATCTTACCTATCAAGCGCTCAGAAAGGCCCAATTTCTTAAAAGACGTCCCTTCCATGCTGACACTTCCGCTGATTCCATCTCTTGTTTTGGAAACTAGTGGTCCGGTTGGTCTCTGCTCTGGAACGACTGAAACATTAGCCGTCAATTGGTCATTTCTTGAGCGTAGATCGGCCAACTCCCCAGCTAGTCTAGCAACTAAGTCACGTAGTTGCTCCAGCTGGTGCGAACGAGCTAATGCCTCAAGCTGCGCTTCAGTTAGTTTGGCCTCCTTATCTGCAAGTGCCTGCCGGAGACGATGAAGCTCGTTACTGATCTCTATCATTCCGCCGGAGATTGCACATTCACAAAGATGGGGCCCATTTGGCTCAATTAAATTCATTTGGCTACTATTAGAGATTTGTCAAAAAACACATAAAGTAAGAAGAATATAATTCAGAACATAGTATAAACCGTATATGAAGAGAACATATTTTGTCCAGCTTACTTCCATTTCGAGTGAAAGTGTTGGGTGGAGAGATTCAATAGTCGGTTCCACGAGAAGACGACGGCGGATTCCTCTTGACCAGCTGTCGATTGGCTTTACTGGAAGACTCATGCTGACGCTGTTTCCGAGGCAATCTCCTTCGATTCCGGTGAAAAGGTGCTAGGCTTTCGTCCATCATATGACATACATCATAAGAGCGAGGTAACATGGTTACAACAAAATTCAAGCTAACGAGTCAAGATAACGCCTAGGAAACAGCGTCAGCATAATTCTTCTCGACTCGTTAGCTTATATTTTGATATGACGATGATATCTGGCTCTGATGATGTCCGTCATATGATGGACGAAAGCTTAGCACCTTTGCACCAGAATCGAAGGAGATTGCCTCGGAAACAGCGTTCGCATTAATCTTCCAGCAAAGCCAATCGACAGCTGGTCAAGAGGAATCCGCCTTCGTCTTCTGGTGGAACCAAACTGCGAATCTCTTCACCCACCAACTACTCGAAATGGAAGTAATCCCAACAACTATGAAACAAGAGATTCCTCGAAACCCAACTTTTCTTCATAGACTCGAAATGAAAGTAAGCTCAACAATTATGAAACAAGAGATTCCTCGAAACCCAACTTTTCTTCGCATAGAACATATTTTGCCACAAAAGCCTATACATCTAAATGTGTATAATTGCGGTGGATAAAAGATATAACTCAGTGATTTTATTTTTCGTATATAAGTAGAGTTTCAAGGTCACCGATAAATCGGATATGTGCGATGTATTCACCCTATTTAGTTTGAGGTGATGAAGAACTGGTAGTAAAATTTTTCCACAAGAATATAAGTAGAGCCGACGTTTCCATTGAATTTTGACTCCCGCTGGGGGTGTCGATAAGACCTATGCGAGGTAAAAAACTGCAGTCCACTCTGGATGAGAACAACTTTTGGGAAAGCAAGGCTATGTGAAATTCAATGGAAGCGTCAGCTCTACTCATAGCATTGTGGGAAAATTCTACTACCAGTCCTTCATCAACTCAAACGAAATATGGTGATTACATCTCAGTTAGTTTAGTATTCTATTATCTAATCTTAATTATGCACACAAGAATGGAAGCTTTAGTAGACGAGTGAAGTTCAGAACAGATATGAAAATAAACGGGTATACAATAAGCATAAGTAAATAACATAGGCATCTCCCTCAGAGATTAGCTATATCATAATTCATCATTATTTGTAAAAACATACCAAATATTTGTATGTTCAAATACTAAAAGATTTTCATAGAAATTTTCAAATAAAAAATTATTATAAATTTCTTAAGTGATTATAGTTTCATTTTTTAACTTAAAGCGTTATTTCTAAGGAGATCCTGGGGCTAGTATGACCTTTATTTGTCCAAAATATCAATTAAAAGTTACACTTTTGTAAGTCGGCTGTGTTATTGTTACTCGTTTTAATTAATACTGATTATATATTTCTTATGACTGGGTTCCTTGAAGTTCTTGTATGAGATGAAATTAATTTGCTCCTTACTTGATAGCAGGGCACCGTTTTCTAATTACTTTGTAAATATTAAATTATTTTTCCGGTAAAAGAATATCAAATAATAGTTTGCAATCAGTTTAAATGATGAATTACTATTTAGTAAACGATTAGTGCTTGTAAAAATAAAGGTCGTCTAAAAGTTATGAGGGTTAGTGTAGATATTTTACTTAAGTTTAAATACGTTGATATACATATGGGGAAATACTCATTGCATCATGTTCGCTGTGGCTATTTAAAAGTCTTGATCGTTGACATTATAACTTAAATTGCCTATCTCTTTATCCTTAGTGTAAAAGACCACAAATCTGAATTTCATGTAGACACCTGCAAGTGCTAAGTCCTATGATATGCTGATGGAAATCAAAAAGTGTGCAAAACGGAGTAAAATAGGTGCTGTTATTCAAACCAGAATACATTGATGTAGATAGCAAGTTTTGGGTATGGTGATAATATATTATATAACCCAAATTAACACTAAGTAGAATTATTGATACTTAACTAATATATTTAAGCATAGTATATAGCGTGAGAATATATCATTTCTAAAATATTTTTAAATCCAAAAATAGGCACAAAGTTAAATTAAAAAATGGTCCTAATTCAAAAACGCACCTTACATCTGAATTTGGAAAGTTAAGACATCTTTCTAACTAAATGATACCTGGCACTCTAAAATAGAAGCGCTAATTTTCCTTGAGTAAAAAAAGTCAATAAAACATGACCTATGTCATAAATTATGCATTTATCATAAGTTAGTAGAGATATATAAACCGATTAATTCATGCTAAGCCTTTCAAATATTATTTTACAATATAGTGTTGCTTTATTCGACTTTATTTTGGTTTGTAGTGTTTGTGAAAATTATTTTAAGCTCTTTTGATCACTGCAAGTAGAGATATCAGAGCTTAACACGATTTCATTAAAATCTAATAAGGCTTCAACGAAGAATAATAGGTCCTAGATATGAATACCAAGATGGTGTGTCCTTCAGTTTGGTGGCAGTCTCCTTTAGCTTTATAGTGCTGGTTCGACCTTGTTTTCGCAACATTATCGGAGCGTAAAGGAGACCTTGTAGAACGTACCTAGTCCCGTATCATCTGCCATACTATTCATGATTTATAATATTGGACCATTGGGTATGATATGTTGTCACGTTGATAACTTGTAACTCTGTGTTTACGATAGCGCCTACGATGCCGGCGAAACGTTTTGGAATATACCCAGCCAATGTTCCATTGCTGTAAAGTAGGAATATTATTCCAGAGAATACGGGACGTTTTAAAAGATCTCACTGACTCTCCGACCAGGTTGCGGAAACAAAGACAAACCAACAGAAGAATAAAAGAGTTTGAACCTCTCGGTAGAATAAAACTATGGTTTATATAAAGGATTGAATTACAAATAGCTGTTATGTTAAATCGCTTCATCCTATAAAACATTACAAATTTTGACGTATAATTGGTTTCTAAGAATAAAAATATAAATTCGCTTTTTAGAGGACGATATGATATTATTTTTCGTTTATAAGTATGCTCTCGAGACTAACAGTAGATCATGTATAGAAGAATCCTAATTTTTCCATATCTTTCCATACAAAGGTTACGAGCATCTTTATCTATAGTAAGGATTAGTTTTACTATCAGTACACGTAAAAAATATTATAAAATAATGTTTTAACCAACAATGTGACAAATATTTATAGATTTATTTTGGTCCTTTTAAAAACTTTCTAATAAGTTTTTCAGAATTTTGCTACGAAAACCGCTTGTAGGTCACAGGAGAATTGACGCGTACCTTCAAATTTACGGTCGACATAGGTACAAATATTTTAATTGAAATAAAGTTTATTATGCTTAGCAGCTCTGATTGCAGATTCACCTATAAGGTTGGTTTTGTGAATGGACCTATTGTGCTGAACCAATCTTTATACAAGAAGTGGAGTCTTGTTCACAAGGCTGTAGGACGATTAAAGCAAACTAATTGATATTTTTCACCTGATATTAATGTTAACTTGATAAATTTATAATAAAGCTTTAAAGAGTTGTATTATAATATAATCAATTACTTTGAATCAATACCAGCTTTACTTGCGACCTCAGAATCGGACAATCCAGAAACAGCCGCCTCCTTCCTTACATTTTTTTTCTTAAATGCTTTGCCGAAAGAGTTGCGAATCTAAAAAAGAGAGACAAGGACAATTCTTTATGGAAAAAATAAATAATTTATTTGTAGGTATGGAGACCTAGATGGTGTGGTTTCTTGTATGGTCGCAGTCTAATTTCGTTGTCTAGAAGTTGTTTGAGCTTGTTTTCGTAACTTGGTCATATTGGTAGGAAGATCTAGAAGAACGCACCTAGACTGGAGTCGATAGTATCAATGATAATTTCCGGATTCGGACCGCAGACGTTTCGCCGGCATCGTCAGTGAGCTTTGCCATTCTTAGCACCACTCTACAGCTCGTCAAAGAAACAAGAGAAGCCAATTCTGCGATCAAGTGTCTGCCAACAATTTTGGTATCTCTCCTGCCCTGGGCTATTCAACAATCCTATATCTTCGCACCACCTCTTTCCTATCACAATTTCTTATTTAAATGTGGCATGGTTTGCCGTTATTTAGTAAATTTGATGAGAGCTCTCCAAACCCAACTCTGGCTTTCCCAGCCCTGCATCCTGCATTCCTCATTCCATAGGTCGTATCAGAGTCTCCCTCTTGCCCCGTGCGACTCGCCTCCTACCTTCATGGTTC